ACTCCACCCACCCCACCCTACCCCCCTTACCCCAAAGATTTACTAACTTTTTCCACTATATATATCTCTTGTTTTTACTGCCCAAGAAGTATAAGTTGTTGTTTGTTGTAAGTGATAAACTCACCAAACAAACTCTTCTTTCTTCTTCTAGCTACTATACTTCTTGTTCTATAACTAACCAAAAGGTAATCTTTTTTGAAAAAATCAAGAATCCACCCCACTCCCCACCCCACAACCCCAAAACTTTCAAAAATTGGTACATTTTTTTCTTTTAATATTTACAACTTTTGAAAACTTTCTTATTCCTTTTGTCTCCTCTCATAAACTTAAATTGTCAAAAGGTTATGTTTTTATGTCTTCTTAGGAATAAACATTATATTGTATATTGTTTCTTGAAACTTTTTTTTTCATTGCATGTTCAACTTGGGAATATAACAAATTCCCTTTTTTTTTGTGTGTAAATAAGAAGTTTGTCTCTTGTTATATACTTTATATATTCTTGTCTTCCAAGTGAGGTAAACAATAATAAATAAGAAGAAAAAAAAGTACCAATTCTTGAAAGTGTGAAGATTTGAAGATTTTGTTTTTCCTTATCCTATTTACTTTTTTGTTGTGTTTTTTTTCTCTAAATTTTTGATCATTTGTTTTCTTTGAATTGTAATGATTTCTCCTACTATACTTTCCTTTACACATTCACATTAATTCCCCCCCTATGCATATCATCATTTCCTTTCTTTTTTTCCCATTTTTCTCAAACTCCTCTTTGTAGGTAAATCATAAATGCTAAGTGCATTCAATAGTTTTAACTTTGTTATAACATGTTAGTTAAGTAACATGTACCCTTTAAATTTATTGTCGCACATGTATCGTATCTGTATATTAGATGTATATTTCTTTTGAAGGATTCGATACATTGTCAGAATCTTCAGAAATGCACTATTTTTCTTTCGAAGGATTCATACATTTTTCAAGATTCCGAACAACATCCTCATGATTTATTTATTTTTGTTAATTTTTGCAGGAAATGGACAGAATTAACTCAAAGCTCTACTTGCAAAATTGCTACATAATGGCTGAAAATGAAAGACTAAGGAAAAAGGCAGAGTTATTGAATCAAGAAAATCAACAACTTTTAAGTGAACTCAAACATAGGTTATCACAAGCTGGTCCTAGCAACAACAACAACAACAGTAATAACAACAACAATGGAGGAGGAAAAAACAATTCAATTCCTGATCTCAATCTCACAAACTGTTCTTCATCCAAGAATGCTTCATCAAAATCCAAGAAAAAGTGAAAAAAAGAAAAGAAAAAATCAAGGTGTCCATCTAGTCATTGAACTAATATTATGTTACTTTTTTTAATTTTATTTTGGGGGGTGTTAAATATTATTATTAGTAAGGGGGTCAAAAAGTAGGAAGTTATGGTTGTTGGTGTTTTTTTAGTTATATAGGTAAGAGGAATATATGGTTTTTTTTGTCTATGTTTAAATATTTTGTTTTAGTATGTGGGGTTAGTTCTGTTTGGGAGCTAAGAAGTTGTAAGCAAATCTATTAGCTATATATATATAAAAGAAATATGAATTATGGTTCCTTTATATATTTTCTCTCTTTAATTATCCATTTTTGTTTCATTTTTTAGTGTTTGAATTAGCCAAATATCACAAAAGTTTAAGCTCTAGTTTGATTATAAAGTTTGAAGTTGAAACTTTAAAATTTGAAATTCTGTTCGGGCAAAAATTTGAATTTTGTGAGTGAATAAAAAAATTTCTCCAAAAATCGACCAACTCTAGTTTTTGGTATGTTGAAGATAAATTTTCAAAATCTTATCAAATTTTATGATAAAAGAGATATTCGAAAATTAATTTAATTTAAAAATCTATGATCAAAGGCTAACAACTGATTTTTTTTCTAACTAAAAGAGTGATACTGGCCAATTGTAATTCATTAACTGCAATTCTTAGTGTTTGTCTTTAAATAAAAAATATGAGAGAATAAATAATGTATAGCATGAGTTGAAAGAAACAAAAATGTAATCTTTTGTTTCACAACATAGTATTTTGCATAATTTACTTGAAATAGAAATATAATGAATGAATTTTAGAATTAGTTTAAAAAAACAGAGGCCTTTCTTGGCTAGCTGTCTTAAAGTTTATGCTAACAATATTTGTAAATCAAATTACCATAAGAGTGATATTTGATATTAATCCATTTGTTTGTAGTTAATAAAGAGTTATTTCTTTATTTATGAACTATTTTCTATAAATTAGGGATGGTTTTCTAGTCGGTAGGAGACTAGGTAGAGTTGATTTTTTTTGAATGGTAAGGAATAGTGATTTATTTATTAGATCATGGTTTTCGCTCCAATTGCTGCAATGCCTATAAAATTAGAGGTGATTCTCAAGTTAGTAGGAGATGAGATAGAGTTCGAAAGTTTTCAAATAATAAGGAATAATTTTTTAAATGGTAAGGAATGGTGATTTATATATTAGGTCATGATTTGCGTTACAATTGCTATAAGGACTATAAATTAGAGGTGATTTCCAAGTTAGTAAGAAACGAGGTAGAGTTCAAAAGTTCTGAAACAAGTAAAGGATGGTGATTTATGTATAAGGTCATGGTCTGCGCTCCAATTACTGCAACAACTATAAATTAGAGGTGGTTTCCAAATTAGTAGGAGACGAGGTAAAGTTGAATTTTTTTCGAATAGCAAGGGATGGTGATTTATATATAAGGACACGGTCTGCGCTCCAATTGCTGCAACAACTATAACTTCGAGGTGGTTCTCAAGTTAGCAGGAGACGGGACAAGTTGAAAGTTTTCGAACAATAAGAAATGGTGATTTATATATAAGGACATGGTCTGCGGTCCTATTGTTGCAACAACTATAAATTAGAGATGGTTCTCAAATTAGTAAGAGACGAGGTAGAGTTCAAAAGTTTTTGAACGGTAAGGGATAAGGGATGATGATTTTTATATATAATAAGTTTATGATCCACGATTCAATTACTGCAACAACTATAAATTAGAGGTGGTTCTCAAGTTAATATGAGACGAGCTAGAATTGGTGTGACATCCTAACTTAAGATAAGAAATCTCACATCGGTAAAAATACAGGCGAGATATTGGATATATAAATAAACCAACTTGACGCGTTTTAAAATTGTGTAGACCTAGACCCAAAACAAACAATATCACTAACAGATTAAACCATTACAGTTGAAAAGTTTTTGAACTATAAGGGATAGTGATTTATATAATATAATATAACTTTTTATTTAAATTTGTATAAAAACTAATAATAAAAAAAAGAATGTTGGCAAATCAAAGAGATTCTGTGAGTTGAAAAAGGATCTAATCAGAGGAAACGTCATAAAAGATTTATTTTTGTATACCATATGCTATAAAGTCAATGAGGATTTTAGTACCTTCTTATTATTATTAATTATTAATATTATAACTAAGATAGAGGGCCCCCACCGTATTCCTTTTGGTTTTGGATATGACATGTCGTCTTGTCATTTGCTGATGCTATCCACGTCACATTGATCATACGATCGAAAATAGTGTTACATAAATTGAAACTAATTCGACACAAAGAAAGTAGATATTAAATCGCGACCCCGCTTAATAAAATCTCATATTGGCCATTGTTGTATTTGATCATTATTGTGATTTTACAATATTTATTTAACAATTACGTAGAAAAAAATATTTATGATATTTGGTAGGAAATGCTTTACCTTTAGAGTAAAACTTATCGATATAAACTTGAATTACTCGAGTTTTAGTTATTTAAATGTTACACTCGTATCAAGTATCAATTTACCTTTAAAATATAGGGTTTTTTGGCATCAATTCAAATTATTTAAATCCTATTTTTTTAATTTTTCAATCTGTGTTTGATATCCATTAATTTACTCTCAAAGTGAGACTTCTCAATACTAAAATATGAATTATAGTTCAAAATAATATATTCAATATAATCTGCGAAAAATGATGTGTACACATACCTTTCTTCTAAGGAACACATAAGTGTATATAGAAAATTTTAACCAAGCATTTTGGATGCTATGACACCCTATCTTCTATATAAATTTGTCCCTATGTTTGTATACGCATATCTTATTCTTACTTATAAAAATAATACACATACCTTATTTTTACTTATAAAAATAAAGAGATAATTTAGATAAACTTTCATCTCAAATAAATTACACATCAAAATATTATTTACAATCAACTATTGCAGAACCTTAGTTGAACATTGCAAATAAGAACTAAAACAAAGAGATGTTTATATGAGAATCTTAATTTATCTTTAACTTATAGTAATTAAGCATATGATCAGACTAATACTTAATTGACAGAATATCATGGTTATATCCTTTTACTCAGTACAATTATTAAACCTTAAAATACGTCTATTTTTCCTTTTTAACTTTTCATTAAATTTCACTTTTATATTCGACCTTTACGATTTATTCCAATTGAACATCTCAATATATGATAAAATATTTTTACAAGAGACTTTCAATTCAAATAATGATTTTTTTTTGTTGCGTGTTCTCAAACATCGCTATTAAGACTTAAGTTAAATACAAAAAATATTGACATCAATCTCTTTTAATAATGCACATCAATCTCAATTTGAACATACATGAGATTTTATGGCTTATTAAGGTAAATGTGTATAACCAAAAGAGGTGACATGTTTTAGTTGATTAACATATCTATATGATGTGCACTTTAGAGTTGAGGCACACCATATATATTATTATTACATATACTTCACTACCATATATATTATTATTACATATACTTTCAAAATATTACGTATCTTACTACTAATTAAGAGTGTTCTACCATATATTGAAGAAAATACATGTAGATACATGTATTTTTTATTATCAGATACACAAAAATGAGAGAGAAGCGAGCGAGATTGGGAAGACAGGCGAGCGAGATTCGTATGTATCCCAGATACATGAGAATCACACTAAGTACACACTAGATTATGTATGTATCTGGTGTGATTCACATGTATTTGGGATACCTAATACATGGGAGAGTGATGAGCAAGATGAGAGAGGGGCAAGGGATCAGAGAGTTTTGTTATGTATCTCATATACATCCGAATCCACTTGGATACAATGTATCTAGAACAAATTATATCTAATTTTGACCTCATATATCTGAGATACATATATCTAGACGTACCTAGAGACACCAAAACCTAATAAGATACGTAATATTACAAACTAAAGTATATCTAAGTAAATCATAATTTGAGTGTCTAAGTACTCCCTCTGTACATAATTACTTATTCACTTTTGAATTGACACGCATATTAATAAAATAATGATTTACATAGTGAATTTACTATTTTACCCCTATTAATTATAAAGTAGATGAATTAAAAATTTAAGATTTTCAAAAATTTTACCTTTTTCAAAATAATTAATTGAGGGTATAATAAATTAAAAGAAATTGCCATTTCTTGATTTGTAAAAAAGGACAAGTAAAAAAAAGAAAAAGTGGACAAGTAATTAAAGACATAAAGATTATAATTACTGACATAATTAATTAAGAGACATTTGATGTATTACAAACCTAAATTCATTTATAACTATGTCATTAAGTGCAATAAAACAAGAACTCCACATTTCAACACCATTTCCCCATACAAATAATTAATTAAATATGAAACCAAAGGAAATGATTTTTTTTTTTGGAAGTATACCTAAATATACATATTTTTGACCTTTTATCTCCCCTAGTCAATTTTCTTCATTTCTTATCCAAGAGATTTTCAAATTATGTTGATCTTATTCATCATCATCATCATTTTCTGAAAATATCTAGGATTTTGCAGGTCACTTCATTGAAATATATCACAATTTTTTTTCCCCAGAATAAGTCAAACTAGAAGCAGCACATAGGCTATGATGACTGTAAAACAAAAAATGTCCTTATTATACATAAAGACATACAATTGGCCAAAATCTTCCAATAAATAATTAATTATCCATTCCCATCACTCAGAAATGATGGCAAATTTCAATTTATATTATTACTTTTTTCTTATTTAATATATTTGAATTTTTCTAACTTTTTTATTTATTGTATAGTTGTGAAGACTTAGGTCATCTTTGGTTGAGAAGATCTTGGTCATCAGAAACTATATCTAAAAGGCATCATTTCTTTCTTCTAAAACCATCTTTTCAAACAATCAAGAATATGAAATAATAATAGTAATGTAGTGATATATGATATATTTTTCTAACCAGGACTCCAAGAGGCTTACATGCATACGCTTTAGGGTCGTTTGAAAATAACCTTTTTATCTTTCCGAAATAGGAGTAACCTCTACGTACACTCTATTCTCATCAGATTTCATTTGTGAAATTATACTGGATATATTATTGATTTATTCCAAGTGATATCACTGTTCTTATTCATAATGAGAAGAATATTTATTTGTTACTTGAACCGAGATACTTTCGAAAGATTCACATGCACTCTACTTTTTTCAAACGCCACTAATTACAACTGAATATGTTATTGTTATAGTCTCTTACACACATACATATACCTAATAATTAATGAAAGGAAGAACATATATTTTTCTTCTTTCAATTTATGAGTACTCATTGATTGTTTTGTTGAATGAATTTTCATTGGTATGGAACGATCTTGTTAAAAAGTCAAGCTTGAAATTAAGTACGTATTTCTCCATCACTTCAACATGTCCCTCCTCCTCTTCCAAATTTTTCCAATATTAATAATTGTATTTTTATAATCATGATATCTGAATCAATTTACACGCATCTTGATTAATTTCATGAAATACTTACTGCCTTCTACCAACACATGTGCACTAAAATAACTTCACACACCAATACTCAAACAAATGAGAAAACCCGCGTTGAGATTCGACTAAATCCAAATTCACGTTGAAAAATCTCACAGTAAAACCTAACAAAGGTGACTTGTAGTCAATTTTTACTCCCCATCTTGAAATACACCGTTTTCTTTACAATAGTAGTGTCTATGCCAACTTATATGCACCTCGACTATTACACTAGATTCCTGTTACTCGTTACTAGCACATATTCGGGATAACTCCACCCTCTTTTAGCTAAATGAAAAACGAACTATATATCAAGCAAATGTCTCAAACTAAATTGATGATGAACTTCCTTACAGATTTTTTCATAGGACAAGACAATGCTTGCTAAACAAAGGTCTAAACGAAAAAATAAAATACGAATACAATCGAAAATGAAAATAATTTCCATCTTACTCATGTTACATTGGATTTAGGAGTCTTTTTTAGCCTTGATAAATCTTCTAGGAGTTGAGAAACTTAGCTCCAACTACAATATCTATGCCAACACATGCAATTATCTGTTGTCGTATTGTACAAATTAGGACTTGTGAGTGGAAAAAGAAGCCAGATGAAACCTAGCAACCCAGCTACAGATGCCACTGTTACCATTCCTAACAACCATAAAAGAGGAAAAAGAAAAATTATCATTAGTATGTTTAAGGAAAGTAGGCCAAAATGAAAAAATTGTTATCTGATTGAGGGACATTGGGGTCCGAGTCAATATGCGTGCATCTTAACTATTCCATTGGGTAGCTGCTACCTCCCACCATCACAAGTATCGGGTAATTTTGTCTACCAAGGCTAAAGCAGATGGAAAATAATCAGCTAGGGCTAGGAATGATATGTAACTTAACATGCTTGGTTTGGTGATAAAGATGCTAGAGACCTCGAAGGACATCTGTCAGAAGCTCTTCCACCCGGGGGGGCACAACTACGGGTTTCCTAAGAGGGGGTGGGGTCAGTTGAACACTCTTCGTAAATTATATTGTATATATAGCTCAAATATTGTTTGTAAGTAAATACTAAATATTTAACGTTCTTGAACATACTTTGAGAAATTCCTGGCTTCGCCGTAGATAACACCTATTGAAGGAATTTTAGGAATGAAGTGGCATATATGCATATTCATGCATTTAAGTTCTTGTAGAAGATTATTCTTCATAAAACTTCTTTTCTTAATGCAATCTATTATATTATCTCAAAGCTTGCATAAAACTTCTTTTCTTAAAAGAGACAACTGTTGTATTTGTATGATTGATGCCACACGCCTAATTATATTATCTCATCTACTATGAGCAAAATCCTAATTTAAAGTCATACTGTAACCTTACCAAACACACTCGAATGAATCAAAGGAATAGGAACTTAGTGCAACTCCAAAACTGATTGCCATATACATCGACGCTTTTAATCCGACCTACTATGCAGTCCACACGTTATATTTACACCAGCATCATGCATGAGCACCTTCTACCCTTCCCATTCCCAAACCCTTTATAGACAGTTGAATTCAGCTAGTGAAAAGAATGACATACCTGTCCTCCGTGAAATTATTACAGGTATGCCAAAATAGTTGCAAAAAATATGAGCAACTAGTGGAGCGGTAAGATGCCCTGCAGTAAATATATGTATAGTATGTTAAACAAAAGCATCGAATACTAGATAATTATATAAAAGATAGACCAACAATAGAAAGAGGAGAGAAAACTCATTGCCAAGGGCTGCTATTGTGACAAAATAGAGATTCATCACACATGCTAATGTGGTACTCAATGCTGTCAAACTTGGTACATTGGAGATCAAATTAGACATGGAAATTTACATTCATAAGGAAACAAACCAGAAAATTTGTAAAACTAGAGTTTAAGGATTTCAATGACACAATTCTTCAGACATTAGCAGCTGTTTTTTTTTTTTTTTTGATTTTTGACATTAGCAGCTGTTACTGGAAGGAAAATGTTTTTTTTTTTTTTTTTTCTGTTAAGCAAATCTTAAGCACTAAAAAATTTGGATTGAGCACATAAACCTCCACTCATCCTCCATCAACTGGCAGCAGTCCCGCTCTCCCTACTGCACGTGCAGGGTCTCAAGTAGTGAACTGGTATTTGTTGTACTTGTTACTTTTTCTTTGGGGGAGGAGGGGAGGAACTAACAATCTTAAAGGGATTTCCAAACATTTTCCAAAAGACAAACTATTGAGGTACAAAGTCCCAAATGTTTGTGGAGGAAGGGGGGTGGGGGTCATTGCACCCTCTAGTCTCCACCCTCTTCTGAATTCACCCCAGTAGTGGAGCATGGAGCCTACAGAGAAGAACTTTGGAACACTAATGGAGGGACCATAGTTCAAAAAATTTCAAGTCTTAATTTCTTATTGCTTTTCTAATAATTCATAGGCAGGGTCGAGAGAATTCTAGAACGAAAAGTAATAGGATGTTAAGAAATATTCAAAAAAACTACCCTTTCAAGCCAAAGATATGCTAAGCTACACCTCATTCTTAAAAGTTCTAAAGAAAGTCGTCTCCACCCCAAACCCCCTTGATAAAAAAGAGATTAAAAAATTATTGAATAAAGGGTGAAAGAAAAATTTTTTTTTTTTTTTTTTCTGTTAAGCAAATCTTAAGCACTAAAAAATTTGGATTGAGCACATAAACCTCCACTCATCCTCCATCAACTGGCAGCAGTCCCGCTCTCCCTACTGCACGTGCAGGGTCTCAAGTAGTGAACTGGTATTTGTTGTACTTGTTACTTTTTCTTTGGGGGAGGAGGGGAGGAACTAACAATCTTAAAGGGATTTCCAAACATTTTCCAAAAGACAAACTATTGAGGTACAAAGTCCCAAATGTTTGTGGAGGAAGGGGGGTGGGGGTCATTGCACCCTCTAGTCTCCACCCTCTTCTGAATTCACCCCAGTAGTGGAGCATGGAGCCTACAGAGAAGAACTTTGGAACACTAATGGAGGGACCATAGTTCAAAAAATTTCAAGTCTTAATTTCTTATTGCTTTTCTAATAATTCATAGGCAGGGTCGAGAGAATTCTAGAACGAAAAGTAATAGGATGTTAAGAAATATTCAAAAAAACTACCCTTTCAAGCCAAAGATATGCTAAGCTACACCTCATTCTTAAAAGTTCTAAAGAAAGTCGTCTCCACCCCAAACCCCCTTGATAAAAAAGAGATTAAAAAATTATTGAATAAAGGGTGAAAGAAATTTTTCCATATGACTAAAGCACAGTGCAAGCATCGCTAACCTGTCCGAACAAAGAGAAATGAAGCATAGGATCCAAAGATGACCGTGTAGCCGACCTGGAAGCCTGAAAACATAAAAGTCATGTCTGAATGCAAACTAAAATATCACTTTGCCCTATGGTGTGAAAATGCAAAGCTGCTTAATCCATCCAAATATATGGAATATTTGGAGAAAGAAAGAAAGAAATTGTAGATGTTATGGTGGAATCTCAACTCCAACCTACACTCTTAAGGCCAGTTGCAAAGCTTGATTATTCAGTTGGCATTTTCATTCCCCTGTAAACAGTGTTGACAATTTTTTGGATTTTATTAGCTCCCTGACTCTATCATAGATATTTTTCTGGAGCTAACCTTTTGTTATCTTTTGTAGTTGTGCATCTTCATGATGCCTTTATCAATGACAATTACTTCTCTGATATCGCCCCTAAGTGGTTAAAGGTTTGGAAAAATGATATGAGGCCAGCTTCTCTCTGGTGATCCGTCTGCTTGAGCTTTGCCCATACATTTCGAGGTGCGTAGCATAATTCGACATATTCAAAACAGAGTGGATTTGTTGATGAATATGCGACTGAAGAAGCCTGGTTTTGTAAGATACCATCAGTCACATTCAGTAGCCCTTTCTTTGGCTTCAAATTTTGTGACCAACAATGAAGCACGTATTTTGATCCATTGGCTAGGTGGCTTAGTTCTATGTTGATCACCTATAATAATTATTCACAGAAAACTAAAAAGAGAGACGGAAAGCGTATGAGTGGCGGGGAAGGCAGAAGAAAGATTAATCAAAGGAGGTAGAAGGATTCGGAGACAAGAAGGAGAACATGACTTGGAATTTCCAGGGAGTTAGAGAATAAGCCGTAAGGGGAACATTTTCATATAATTCTTGCAAAATTTGGACCATCTTCCTTGTGAACTGACAAGCTTTATTAACTCAAACTTTGATGCTATTTTAACATATTATAATTGGTTGGGAGTGCCATGTCATGTATGCAACTTTGATGCTATTTTAAGATATTATAATTGTTTGGGAGTGCCATGTCATGTATGCATGCAAACTGAATATCACTATGCCCCATGTGATAAAAATGCAAAATTGCTCAACCCGTCCAAATATATAGAGAAAGAAGAACGTAGAAAACTGATAGGCTTTATCCATGCTCAAGATTTGATGCAATTGCTCCCACTACAATATACTACTTTTCCAGGAGTTTCTCACTCTAATAGAAACTTAAACATAAATCACATGGCACTTGTCCCAATAAAAGCATCATATAATGGTCCATTCATATTAGACTTCTGATGTAGAAACATTACATGTGGAGACAAAGATCATACCTACAATCGTAAGAGCTTTGAGCCAGCTGCCGCTTCGTTGAGCATATTCTAACAAGTGATTTAAATGAGCTGCAAGCAGATAACACAATAGTTACTCTGGATGAGGTAATGAAAAACTATCCATAGTTTCAGTCGAAGTAGCACGTTTCCTCTTTAAGTCTAAAAGTTAGCAAATATAAAACAAACAAGGAATTTCCGTACCGGTTTTTAGCACATTTCATCTTTAAGTCTAAAAGTTAACAAATATAAAACAAACAAGGCATTTCCGGACCATTTTTTACTGCAATATTATTAGTTTCAGTTCACTGACAGCATGTTCTAAACAATAATAGTATTCTAATGTCAAACACAGTTGCGAGAGTGCTTTTTTCAGGTTTTTGTGTATGAGTCCCTCAACTTACTAAAATTGATATCAGTCAAAAAGTTACTGAAGTCATTATGGGTATTGTAGATACTTTGATCTCAAGATCAATATTAGCTAATACAATACCTCTCTTTTACTCATTACTTGGAAACTATTCACATGTATTTCTGTTATTTTCATAGTTAGTTCTGAATACTCCATGTGCACTTGCTTTAGTTAAAATTCACCTGATTAATCGCCTAACTGAATTCTTTGAGTAAGATATTGTTTAATTTCACTAAATACACGAATTTCACAGTTTTAACTAATGTCTTAGAGTCTCTCTGTTTCATAGGACCAATGTATCATAGTGATGTAATTTCCTAATTTTATGAAAATATTTGTCCATTGTCTATGTCGAATAGTGTATGCGTAGTCGCATTGTCTCCATGCAAAAATAGGAGAGTAGCTTAGCTTGTGATCGTTCCAATTATATCTATGTCACACCTGAGTGAGCCAGTTAGTCACTATTGAGATCAGATCACAGGACCATAACAACTAGAATGCAAAAGTGTTTAGTTTCTTTCTTAGCAGGAAATATGATTGTAACTTATAAGCATAAAAACTGATTAGACATGTAGTATTACCAAGAAAATTCAATATCATACTTCCGGGAAGACATATATCTTGAACCCTTAAATCCTAAAAATATATTCAAGTCAAACTCATATTTCTTGAAAGTTTTATCTAAAAATGAAAGTCTTGTAGCTTGTACTTACCTAAACTGAAAGATATAGGACAGAGAAACACCACTGTATAGGTGTTGAATCCTCCACAAAGAAGCAAAGGTATCATACAAGCTCTAAATACCAGCTCTTCTGTAAGTGGGGCCTGTTAAAAAGGACATTTTCCAAACAAGAATTAAGTACAAAACATATTTTCATGTTTATAAATCATAGCTTCTTGAGATTTTGCTTTGACATGAATAAGGAGAAAATGCACACAATATGATTTCTTTTTTGAAAGAAACATAAGGTAAAATACTTCAACATGTTGCAGCAAATTGGAAATATCTTCATAGAGAACCTCAAGTATCTCCAACTCCAACATGATAACCCACTCAGGCTTTATCTTTGCCAAAGACGCTAGTGTAAATCAGATAAATCAAAAGAAAGTTGATGGAGTACATAATATTTGCTTCAAAGAGATTAATAACAAGAAGACTTTGATCTTTCCCTCCAAAGTCGCTTGCTTTGGATGGATGGCAGCACATGAAGCATGTCTTATGCAAAGAAGGGGATTTAGCTTGTGTTGATGGTGTTATTTGTGCAAAGAACAGTAAAACATCTTCTATTACACTGCAAATTTGTATGTGAGTTTGGTGCATGTTTCTTAACTTGTATGGGATTCAAAGGGCCATGCCAGCAAAATGCAAATGTGGAACAACTGCTAAGCAGTTGATAAAGTCAGAGAATGAAAAAAGTATTTAGAGGACTGTTCCATTAATCATATTCTGGAATGTTCGGCTCGAGAGGAACAAAAGATGTTTTGAAAGGAAGTGAACTCTTTGCTGTTGAAGTATAGATGCATTCATAGTATAAAAAAATGGCGCAATGCTGAATTTTAGAATGATCTTGATGTATTTATGGACTCCATACAGCATTAGCGGATTCCTATCTAGTTTTGTTGTACTCTCTCTCAGTAAGTTCCTGATACTGAGTTAATTATTAATGATACCTTACTTATCAAAAAAAAGAAAGAAAGAATTTATCTTTCCACCTAACAAAAAGAAAGAAACAGGAGACTTGTTATATTTCTAGTTTGAAGTTATATTACCTAACATACGAAAATGCATCTGTATATATACCAAATATGCAGGGAGATGGTGGCATGAAAGCTATTACAAAAGTGAGTTAGTAATAACAGAAGTTTGAGGGTATTATTGATCTCGTAACCACGAAATAGAAGGATTCAAGTAAATCTTGATCCTAATACAAAGATCAGATAGCCAAGAGCACTAACAAGGTGAACAGAGAAGGTAACCAGCTTAATATTCTAGTAAGGTTACTGACCACAAAAAAATTACGCCATGCTGAAATATCGGACGCCATTGAAGAGACCGATTCAATAAATTCATGGACAACATTTTTAATACTGTCAAGTGACAGGCTTCTTCCATTTCCCCCATCTTCTTGGCCCGAGTCTAGCAACAATAACAGCTTGAGGATGAAGGTGCCAGCGTACATTAAGGAAGTCAATGTAAGCGGAAAGACGACAGCTTGCCACTGTTTTAAACATAAAATTGCATTTCAGCAATCAGTCACCCTTTCTCAATCTGCGAGTCATAAGAGAGCAGAACTTGATAACAACCACATGCAAAAAAAATTAATCCAGCACAGATATGATACTTACGATATGATCCAATCTGATGCCATAAACACCTGAAAGGTGAGATTTACCCCACTGAATCTGAAAGATTGGAAAATTGTATTAGACTGAGAATATAAGAGGAAGTTACTGGTAAAAGAAGCTTTGCAGAAAAACTCCAAAACCAATAATTCGCTCATGGATGAATGTAAAACTAATGTAAGCCCTCGCTTCCAGCAAATGGTTTAGCTCCCATTTGGCCATAGATTTTGAAGTTGAAACTTCGAACGTAAAAAGATGAGTATTTGAAGCTGTGATTTTTAGAATTTGGAGTTCTGTTTGGACATGCATTTTACTTGAAAAAAATTTGAAGTTTCCTTTGAGGAAGTCCCAAAGACAAAAAAAAATGGTGTGAGCCATTCTTTGGGACTTAAAAATATTAAAAGAACAGATTTTGATCATGGCCAAACAGATATCAGATAAATTTTAAAAAACAACTCTCAAAATCTATGGCCAAATGCTAGCTAAGTATTTTGTATAAGAGCTACATAAGAGATGATACATATCCTAACTGAGAATTAAAATGGAAATATACACATACATACAAAGAGAATCAGAATGCTCAGAGGAGACATCATGCTCCTACTTTAGCATCTTTTAACACTTGGCTTTGGTAAACTAAATGAGTTAGATTTCTCATATGGTCACTCATTTAACAGTTCTAAAAAAATCGAAAATCGAAGAATCAAGCATAACTTTCTGACATAATAATTATTAGTTGTATAAACTAAATTACTCCGATCCTGTAACATAGCAACACAGAAAACGATATATTGAGCAACAATTTTTTTTAATTAAAAGTCAGAAAATGCCTTAAAATTAGTACATGATGAAGGAATCTTACAGGGAGGATAAGAGAGCAAGCAATAAGTGAGGCAACAGATGAAATTGCAGCGCATATGAACCGTCGGATCAAATGCGATTGAAACGAATCTGGCGGTGGTAATCGGAGAATCAACGTCGGAGCATATAAAATCGCAACATACAAAATCGCCATCGCAGTGCACGCAATCACTGCAAGCGATTTCGATACACCACCGCCGTCTCCGCCGTCAATGACGGAGTCGCCGGTGAATGCTACTTCCATCGTCGCCGGATTTTCAGACGGATTTATTTGCAAATAATAATAATACATAAATTACAACACAAATTCATTAAACAAAAACACTGCTAAATAGTTTTTATATTTTGCTTTAATGGAAGAAATTGGTATTTTTATTTTTATTTTTTTACTGTTCTTCGGCAGCTTTAGCATGGGTAGTTTCGTCATTTAAAACGAACAGCTAGAGTACAACTTATAAGTTCGATTTTCGGTTTAATCTATATGTAACTCACGCCATTATTATACTGAGTACAGTATAACAACAATAACATATCCCTTGTAATTCATTACTCATTTTTACTTTTCTATAATTTATAAATCTTTTCAATTTTAGATATGGTTTAAATAATTTTTCTAACAAACTAAAAATCCTATGAGAAAATATTAAAACATGGTCTAAAATTTTATAAGTCAGATAAACGTTAAATTGGTTTATGAAAATGAGAATTATATGAGGAAATTATTAAACTCGAGTGTAATATCATCTAACAAAATAATTTTCAAGAGCTATATTTACACAATTTTTAAAAAATAGAAACAAAATCTAAATGTTAACCTAAGGAAAAGAAATAACAACAATATTATAAACAAACTCAGTATAATTCTATAAGTGGAAAAACGATAATCCTATAAGTGACGTATGAAAATGATAATGTATGTACGTTGTGAAAGTAAACAGATTGTTTTCAATGACCATCGGCTCAATGACTTCAAGAAAGGACATAATGTGTGAACCGGCCCAAATTCTCAACCCCAAAGCCCATAGATAATAGGGGACGCAATAGGCCCAAATATAAAATCCCAAACCCAATCAGTTTTACTGATCCCAGTAGAAGTTAGGGTTTCTTCTCTCCGTCGTCGTTGATACGGTTGTTGCCGGTGGTCCTCCGACAGTTCAGTTATTCCCGTCGGAATTCTCGTCCTATCTAGGTAAGTTTTTTTTTTCATCTCTTTACTATTGCCTTAATTTTTTCTTTAGTTTATAGAGATCAGAGATATGATTTGGAAAAATTCAATCTTTAGTTGTTCTAGTTTGCCTTTGAAGTTTTGATTTTTCTTCTGATTTCTGAACTTAATATGCTTTGTTTTCTTTCATTATTGCATTGTTGTTGCTGAGTATTAACTACTTAATTGTTTGATGTTGTTTTAATTTTGTGCTTGTTTCTGTTATTTTTGAACAATTTATTTTATGTCTCCTAGTCTAATATTCTGTTGTTTCTATCTCGTCTTGCTCGTTTAGTTGTATGCTCGTTAGTCGTTTTTGTCTCCTTTGAATTATTTCTCATTTAATTGTGTGCTCGTTTATCGTTTTGGTCTCCTTGCTTATTTAATTGTGTGCTCGTTAGTTGTTTTTGTCTCCTTGCTCGTTGAATTGTGTGCTCGTTAGTCATTTCAACTGATGGAGCCCTTCTGCGCTTTAACACTCCTTGCCTCCTGATCAGTCTTCGTACAATTTTGCTGATATTGTGGCCTTGACCTCTCTTCATTCCTTCCCTTCCTTTTGTGTCAAGATCATATTGGTTTGATTTTTCACCCAAGGGTGTGGTTTAATGATCAATGACGTGTGTTGAGCATGATGAGGGTCTCATGTTCAAATTCGGTAAATACAAAACACTAGTTGATTTCTTCTCATCTGGTTTAGCCTTGGTAGATAGAATTACCTTGCACTATAATGTGCGCTATAATACCCCTTGCTTCATGATTGCAGTCCTTGTTGGTCTGTTATCATGCTGGGATAGTGTCCTTGACCTCTCTTTCTTCCCTTTTGTGTCAAGATCATCTTGGTTTGCATTTGCACGTAGGGTGTGGCTTAGTTGTCAATGAAGTGGGTTGTGCACTATGAGGTTTCGATTTCAAATCCCAATATAGACAAAACATTAGTTGATTTTTATCCATTTGTTCAATCCTTGGTTGATAGAGTTTCCTGGCACTAGGTGTGCAAGCTGGTAGACACCATGGCTATCAAAAAACAATATTTTGCTTTCTTCCTGCAATCAATAGTACTTGTGAGTTGTGAGATATTGATATGTGTTGTCATCATTAAATCACTTAGGATGCTAACAATTATTAGAAAGCATATATCTGTATCTACTCTATACAAGTGAGTTTGCTGGACAGTGTGCTCATTTTTTTCTGCTACATGTTTTTCTACTGCAGGATATATCCACCTTGCTGTAGCAATTTTTCTCCATTAGTTGGATAAAGAAAGCTCTTTAGACAAACAGAAGAAATGGTAAGTTCTCACTTGCACAATAGCCAGTGTTTTGACTAAATTATCCTTAATTAGCCACCATCTAATTAACATAGTTTCTTGATTACATAAAAAACTCACTTATCTAAATAGGGGTAAATTTGGAAGAAAATAATTACTTCCTTCTTGATTATTTAATTGGACACTTATTTTGAACCAAGATTAAGGTTAAGCGGACATACATTTTGAACCGGAGGGAGTACTTTATTTTTGTAAAAAGTAGTTGAAAGCTTTCTAGATTTTCTAAGTTGGGATAGAAAGAGAAAAGAAGAAAAAGATTCTTAAGGTATTTGTTGATGAGAGGGAGGTCAAAGGGTTAACTGTTACCTGTTAGTAAAGGTGCAGTGTCATGTTTTTTATGCAACAGCAAGGAGGAAATGTGTAAATTCTTTTATTGAATGTCAGTTGTCATAGTTACCTCATACACTTTCTTGTTTCTCTGTTCAGTCTGGCCGAAAAGAAACAGTTTTAGATTTGGCAAAATTTGTTGACAAGGGTGTGCAAGTCAAGCTTACTGGTGGAAGACAAGGTGCGTCATGCAATGTCTTTATCATTACTCATTAGAATGTTCATCCACTCAAACACACCTTTCCTTGTCAAAACAATGTATTCCTCTCTATTTGTCAGTTTGTGACTTGTTTTACCTCTTTGTCATGCTCTCCTGCTGTTGCTTATGGGGTTATGTTGTTGATACTTGATACGTCGTCATATAGTCAGTCAGGGTTGAGAGTTGCGCAAATTACAATCTTTTTTTTCTGCTGATTAATTCTCTCTTCACAGTGGTAGGAACACTTAAAGGCTATGACCAACTACTTAATCTTGTCTTGGATGAAGCCGTGGAGCACCTTAGAGGTAACACAATTATCATAGCAGTATTTCGGAGTTTAAATTGACTTCAAAATGCATTTGTTTTAGTTTTTTATGTAACTTTTTTTTGGAAATTTTAACTTAATCATCAAATGGTGGTCAGTCGAGGAAATGTATTGTTTCTTGTCTCACATGTTCTGCATTATGTTAGCGTCCACAAGTTTTGCGTGTCTGCGCTGATACTGTATATTTGTTTTATCATTTTGTTAAGTGGAATAACCTTTTCCTTGGAATCCCTTCATTATTTTTCAGTACAATGGAGCAGCAAATTGCTTAATTAGATACTAGCTACTCATCATTTTGTGGAATTTCATTTGTTGTACAGTTGATGATTTTAAATTTTTTTGCCATAGATGCCGATGATCCCCTGAAGACCACCGATCAGAAACGAAGTCTTGGCTTAATAGTATGTGTTCACTTATCATACATTTATAGCAATTTTCTATTTTGCAGTAAGCTTCTGAATGTTCCTTCTGTCCAACTACTGGAACCATCATTGAGCACAAATAAATTTCTCACCACATTTGCTTTTTACCCTTTTTATTGGGGTTAGGGAGCACAGAAGTTCCTTAACATGAGTAGTTATGGCAGTGTTTTCGAAATTGCTTTGTCAACTGTTCAAACTTTCTTTCAAAAAGTACTGTTATGTATTTCATCGTATTGGCATCAAAACAATCCCAGATTGTTCCATCTCTAGTTGTGAAAAAGTGTTTCAAACGTTTTGTAGGCATAAAAAAGCACATTGATAGTGTCAAGCATATCCTACAACGGAGTTTTATGTGTGAATAGTAGTATTTCATTTGAATTTTGAAGTATACACTTAGGTACTATATATTCTCTCAAAGAACATGTGCCTTTTAAAGAAGTGTCATAACTTTGGTTCAAGAATTTATTACGGCCTATGTTGCTCGCACTCTCCAAAAATTCTACAGCACCCATGTCAGATGTTCCAAAAGTACACTATTTTTGGAGGATCCGACATGCACGGTATTTTTGAAGTGTCCGAGCAACTTAGATTACTACTATGGTAAGGTAATGTGGTAGTTAACATAAATTTGACCTCTTTTCTCTGCTTCTTGCCTTCCTTTCACGCACAGGTCTGCAGGGGTACTGCAGTAATGCTCGTGGCTCCAACTGATGGTACAGACGAGATATCCAATCCTTTTGTCCAGCCAGACGGGGCATAGGGGAATCAACCTTGTTATTTCGAATTTAGCTCAACTGTAATGCTGTAAACAGTCTGCACCTTCGCCTTTTATTTGCAAATGTTTACTGTTTCTATTAGAGAAAATGCTTCTTCTAGCGGAAATTGGAGATAAGTACTATATGGTAGCAAAGCTGTAACTGCTGCTGCTCCATTTTGTGTCGTCGATACATTTTCTTCTTGATGTAAAGTCATATTAGTCCCATTTCACCTGTGACAATGTCAGATCTGTATCAAACATCGACTTCTGGCTTCACTATCGAGTGTCTGTCATTCTTGATGGGTCATGTATGCTAATCTTCTCTTATTACCTGAACCGTGTCTTCGTCGTTGTACAGGTGCTCGAGTACACACACCTCTCATGTTTGGTACATTACTAATCGTTGCATAACTAACCTCACCTATACTAGAGTATAACTTGTTTGGTTACTCGAACCTCAATCGGTTTTTGATTCTGATACCATATTGAAGTTTGTAATCATTTCAGGCTTATAAACACTATTAAGTAAATACATAGTTCTATGGCTCATTATAACAGATACGATAGTTCAAAAATTATTTTAGATTGCATATCTCTGTGGCTCCGCCCATATTATCCCATATAAAATCCAAATTAATCAAAAGTAAAATGTCAATGTCCTTCAAATTGTATTCAATTTATTTATACTCAATATATATAAATAAAATATAATTCTGAATAATTAAATATTTATCATCACACCAACACAAATAGATAGATT